TTCCTCCTCGTTGTGCCGCCCCGCGGCCCACCCCCGCCGTGCCTCCCCGCGGGGCGTCCTGCTCCGGGGCGAGCTGCTCTGCCCGGGCCCCGCCGGCTGGACGCTGTTGGCCGCTGCATCCCTCAGCAGTGTCGGGGCCGCTCTGGAGCTCGGGTGGTTTGCTGGGATTCCCAAAGGATCTTTGTCTCTCCCTGTGGTGGCTTTCGAAATCTCAGCTGAAAAGTGTTTGTGGCTCAGAGAATGCCGGTGAAAGGCGGCTTTCGCGCTTTACCTGTGGTGCTCTCAGTTCGAGGTGGATCTGTACCAAAATGAGTCGGCATGCCAGACTCCCCTGGACCGGCAGTACCATGAGGAGATCCTGAAACTGGAGAGGGCTGGAGGTCGGAAGAACTATCGCATCTTCACCTACACCGATCATGACCGATTCACCAACCTAGAGGAGGTACCAGCGTTTAGTTACACATAATCTATGCAGCAGTGTCTGTCAAAACATCCAGGCCTACTGCAGAGGGAATGTTTGTCAGTTCTTGGCCATGCAGAAGCAAGCCAGATACCCTGTATGCAGGAGAACATACTACTTCTGCAGAGCAGCTTCACGTCATGCCCCGGACCTGGGATGGGATCTCACCAGTTCAGAATGATAGTCAGGGGCAGCTTAGAGGGACTTGGCTTTGTAGCGTTGCTCTGTAGGTAACTTGTTGGGTGGAGTTTAGCTGTACTTTGCCACAAGGACAGCGAATGAAATCTACAGTCTTTAAGCAGTTTGTCCTCGCATGTGTGTGTGTACATACCTGTTCTCCAAGAGTAGAGCTGTGTTTGGGAAAGATGTCCTGTTACAATTAAGCTGGTCTGTTTCTCTCTGCCAGCACTGCCAGAAGGTAACTGACTCGGATCATGAGGTGCCGTCATATCTGGCAGAGAGGATGGCCAATGTGAGGAGAAGACGACAGGACCGTAAGCCAATGTGAGTGTAAACTGTGGGTCAGAACTTGCTAATGCAGGTTTCCTGGTGCTGGTACCCCAGCTGCGGAGCAGCCTGGTCTGTGGAAGTTGGTGCCTTGAGCTGTGTCACACCTGGGATACGGCAGTTTGACTCCTCATCGTGGGGGGTTTGGTTCTGCCTGTGCCAGGCTGCTGAGGTGAGCTGGAACTTGTGCTGTTCTGTTGTTGACAGAGAAGCAAGCTCTCTGAAGTCAAAAATCATCACCTGGGAACCCTCAGAAGAATTTATAAAGAACAATCATGTGATTAACACTCCTGTTCAGACCATGTACATCATGGGGGACTTGGGACCTTATGGGAAGTAAGTAAAATCCTGAAATGATCTTAAGGAAACCTATCTTCCCTCCTTACTCAAACCTCCTGTTTCTTTCATTAGTTAAGGGGGGAAGATTCCAAGAGCTTTGCAACTCAGGCTGCTATTTCTTTCTGCCTCTTTCCCCAGTTGGGAGGTAACTGAGTGTATCCCTCCAAAAGGCTTCTTAAACTAATGTAGGAATGTATGTGCGTGTT